TTCATGTTGCAAGTTTATGAAGGGGGAAAAAAATACTAGAGGTGTTCTCTGAAAATAGGCATCTTTCTTTTTTCCTTCCTTAGTGAAATTGTTATTAAGCACCCCATCAATCACTTGAGGCATTCTATGTTATAAATCTGGAAACTGACATCAGTATAAATTAACTCATTGAATGAGACACCAGAAGCCTCTCTGAGGGTCCCAGTATCTATTACAGAGACTAAGAATGAGGGCTCTGGGGTTCAAGATCCACCTCCAAATCCTGTTGCTGCCATTAACTAGTTGTGTGACCTTAGAAAAAGGTATCTTTATCTTAGTTTGCTCATCTTCGAAATGGGGATAATGAACCCTTCATATGTCTACTGACAGGTGAACATACTATGGTATGTCCATACAATGGAATACTACTCAGCAATAAAAACAAACAGGCTAACAATATACAATAATGAGGATGAATTTCAGAGTCATTATGCTAAGTAAAAAAAGCCAGGCACAGATAATATACTTATACTTTCACTTACATAAAATTACAGAAAATGAAAATATTCTGATGAAAAACACATCAGTAGTGGTCTGAGACCAGGGGCAGAAGAGGGATGGACAGGGGCATGAGGAAAGTTTGTCTTATGGCAGAGGGTGATGGGAATGTTCTGTATGTTGATGGCGGTGGTGGCTACACAGGACATGTATATCGTCAAAACTCAAATTATGCACTTTGAATGGATACAGTTTACTATATATAAATAAGATCAACAAAGATGATTTAAAAAAATTTCTCAGGGATTTGTTTTGAGAATGAAATAAGAGAAAACGTAAAATGCTAGGCCTAGCAGTTGGCACATAAGTGCTTGGTAATACCTGACGATGGTAATGCTGGTGGACACTGAGGTCCACCAGCAAGTGTTCTCTTGGACGTCAGAAGACCGTCAGAGTCTCTCTGAATCCCACTATATTGTATAATAATCTGTAAGCCTCTATTTCTTAACATGTTTCCACATGGCAGGTTTGATCAAGAGGGCCTACAGAGTCCCTTGCAGCTCAACAATTTGCTTTTACAGTGACATCTCCCATGGCAGCCCACACAACTTCTAATAGCATGCATTTACCACGTGGGCAAACAGCAGCATTCAGAAAGTTTTGCTTTGACATTTAAGGTCACTCCTTGAAATGTACTATTTTCTATGATGATAAAGGTGGAGAAAGTAGGATTTCCAAAGTCCTTTCCAAGGAGTTGGAAAGACAGAGTATGGGAAAGCTGACTAGCCCTCCAACAGGACAGTGAATTTAATTGTTTTCATTTGGAAGTTTTGGCTGAAGAACTCTTAAAATCTTTTTCCTGAAATGTAATGTTTTCTTCCCTACGTCACAAGTCTCTCAGTGTTTTGACAAATACACAAGCAACTGAGGACTGAAGCTATCCCAAGAAGACCCACTGCAGGAAACAGCCGACTAGCAGTATGCTCACTCCTATGCACCATCCCAGACTGGCCCGATCCTCATGCTATGAACTATCGGCCTTCATCACCATCTCCCTCTCCCTCGTTCAAATCTGAGACTCTAGAACCATTATTCTAGCATTATAAATTTTCTCACATGCTGCTCCTTAATCTCCTAACACTTTTATTTTGGGGGTGGGGATTGAACTCAGAGGCACTTGACCACTAAGCCATGTCCCCAGCCCAATTTTGTATTTTATTTGGAGACCAGGGTCTCACTTAGCTGCTTAGCACCTTGCTTTTGCTGAGGTTGGCTTTGAACTCATGATCCTCCGGCCTCAATCTCCCGAGCTGCTGGGATTATAGGCATGCGCCACCACGCCCAGCTGCATAACACTTTTATTAACATCTAGAGGAGGCCCTGTTTCCTTGAGTCCTTGGCACATCCTCCTAGTTACTTCACTGTCCTGTGCAATTCATGGCTGAAGCAGCTGACAATCTGTGAGGACAGATCAAAAGCAGGGCCAGCAACCACCAATCACCGAGCTGCCAGTTCAGTGCTGGCAGGACATCCCAGCTACAGGTCTGGGAAAACAGACTTCGAGAACAGAAATGCAGGTGTCTTAGTTACCAGGGTCACTGGGAATTATTAGGGATAAAGTCTGGCAGCTGAAAGGAGATTAGTGGCTAAAGCTAAAGGAAGAAGATCTGGCAAAAAGGAACGAGCTTGTCAACAGGAGATACTGGAAAGCAAAGAAAACCACGGAGGAAAGACGAGAGCATGCTCAGGAGCTCTCGCTGCTCCACAGGTAGGCTGCCCGTCTCACCTCTAGTGCTGACTCTCCACCTTGGAACCCCTTTGGGATGAGATGAGATAGAAGTACTTTTTCACATGACCCCTATACTCTCCAGGGCTCAGTCCTAATGTTCAGGGGGACCACAGCAAGCAGGCTGCAATCTTTAGTGTGCCATATACTCACCTGGGCAGCTTAGCTAACTTAATTAAGTTCTCTGGCCCCAGTTACAGTTTGACTTGACCATGGCCGGGGAAGAGAAGACTGGGAAGCTGTGCAGAGGAAAAGCTTCAGGATCCGGACTGTCTGTATGTAAGCCATGCCTATGTAAGGTGAAAGCCCACAGGCTGGGCAAAGAATTAGCACCAGGAAAATGTGAGCTGAACAATCCCCAGAGCTCATATGGAATTGCAAGAGGCTCAGCTCCATCCAGCCAGAGGGGAGAAACCTTGGTGAAGAACCAGGCGCTCAGCAGAGAACCCTTAGTGCTTCAGTGTTTAGGGCTAACTCCAGACCTGCCCTATCAGGCTCCAAAACAATTCTCAAAATGAAGAGATACATTCACTGCCTACCAAAATAAATAGGTCAATCATTCAAGAAAGACGCAGAATCCAGCCATTCAACCCATGAACATTCACAATGTCCAGCATCCAGTCAAAAACTATTAATTGTGTAAAGAAGCAGAAAAATATGACTTATAATCATATTAATAGAAACAGGCTCAGAAAAGATAGAGATAATGGAATTAGCAGCAAAAGGACGTGAAAATAGCTACTATAACGCCTATCATCAAGAATAAAGAAAACTAGCCCAGAGGGTGGCACAGGCCTGTAATCCCAGCTACTCAGAAAGCTATGGCAGGAGGATCCCAAGTTCAAGGCCAGGCTGAAAAACTTAATGAGACTCTGTTTCAAAATAAAAATAAAAAGGGCTGGGGATGTACCTTAGTGGTACAGTAGTTACCACCAGTAACCACTCCTCAAAAGGAATAAATGAAGTCTCTAGAGCTATAACAAATTCACTGAATGGGCTATTTTTTTTTTTTTTTTTTGGTGCTTAGGGATTTGAACTCAAGGCCTCATGCCAGGCAAGCACTTTACCACTGAGCCACATCCCCAGTCCCTGAATGGGCTATTTTAATAGTTGACTGGACAGTAAAAAAAGAAAAGAGAAAAAAAGAAAAAGAGCAGTTACACAGCAAGACAACCATCCAAACAGAAGAAAAGGGAAAAGCAGACCAAAGAACAAACAAATAACAGAAAAACCACTGCCTCGATGATAACAGTGTAGACAAACATAACTAGAGTCCCAGAAGGAGTGGAGGAAAAACATATATAAAGAAATACTGGTGGGGCTGGGGCTGGGGCTCAGTGGTGGAGCGCTTGCCTAGCATGTGTGAGGCGCTGTGTTTGATTCTCAGCACCACTTATAAATACATAAATAAAGGTCCTTCAACAATTAATAAAACTATTTTCAAAAAGAAAGAAATACTGGCTAAAACTGTTTTCTGAATTTGATGAAGATTATAAATCCACAGACTCCGGAAGTTCAAATAGATTAGACACATACACAAAAGAACTACATTGCACAGAGGGGAACAAAGACAAGAACGACTACTGACGTCGCACCAGAAAGAATGTGGGACATAAGACGATGAAGTAACTAAAGTGCGAAAAGAAAAAAAAAAACATTAGCCTAGAGTTCTGTGTCTGGTGAAAAGTGAAGACACTTTCAGGCAGGGAGACAGGGCTGCTCCACCAAAAAGTATCAAGTTCTAAAGGAAACGGATGCCAGGGAGGAACCAGGATCTCCATAAAGGAGTGAGAAGTATGAAAACAGTAAATAAGTAAGGTTTTTTTTTTTTTTTTTTGTAGTCCTGGGGCTCAAACCCAGGGCCTTGTGCATGAAGGCAAGCACTCTACCCACTGAGCTATAGCCCCAACCCAATATGCAGGTGTTTAAAAAAGCTTTAGTAATTTTAGGTTCCAAACATAAGCTCCCCTATAGTAGGTTGCTTTTAGAGAGTCACACAGGCTACATCTCTTCCCTTGAGTCCTGAACACAAGCTGATGCAGAGCCACAATCGCTGGCCTTTCTAGTCCTTATTTGTCCCTCATTTCCACAGTCAGTATTAACCGACTACTATGTGTCAGTACTGCAGATGCCAAGTGAATAAGTCAGAGTGTCTGCCATCAAGGAGCTTAGTGCCTGGGGCAGATGATGGGGAGGGGGCAACCAAGTCAATCAAGAGTCAGAGTGGGACCTCCTAAGTGCACTCAAATCCTAGCAGAGCTGTGACCTCAGGCACTCACTCGGTGCTCAGTTCCTATGACTATGAGATGGGGATGACAATGGTACTCTCCATCTGAAGAGTTGTGGTGAGGCTCAGTATTGTAACCTACAAACTGTCAGAACTGGCAGTGCTGGTGCCTGGTGCACATTGAGCACCCAGGAAGGTCTTGTCGTTACGGTGGAGGTTTGCCAAGGAGGCTGTAGTGGCACAGAGGACATCTGAGAGAGAGGACAGGATGGAAAGGGAAGACATTCCAGAGGAGGCGACACTTGGCTAGGTTTTCAAGGACAAGCAAGGTCAGTGGATACAATGGGGGTAAGGTACTCTGAGCAGAGGCAAGATCATTAGCAAGGCATGGCGATGGGACTCTGTGCGTGAGGAGACCACTGCACACGGGTTCAGCAAGGCTGCAGGCCAAGAAATGCCCAGGGCTCTGCGCCCTCTCTAGATGTCTGACTTCCTGCAAGGTCATCTTACCTCCTCCGTCATCCATTCCATCCAGGCTGTGCCGTCTGAGGCGGTGGCTGCCCCCAAAAAAGAAGAAAAAGAGAGATGATGATGAGTTTTAAACCCTAAAAGAAACACCCATTTTTTTATTGCAGCCACTGTTTCTCTTAGGTGGCGATGTCCCTACGCCAGCTTTCATCCCCCATCGTGGTCAGACCTAACTGGGCAACTGGCTCTGCCATGTATGGTTCCACGGCCTGCCCGATGCTCGACTCTGAAGGCCGTCCTCATGCACCATGACATGAATGCTCCCCTGCCCCTGGAGGTGTGACATTGGTGGCCTTGCTTTTACGGTCACATTTAACTAGAAACTTCTTTTTCTTTTTGAGGTAAGTCTGAGGAGAAGGTAAGGCTTAGCAAGCTGGCATTGCTTCTGCCTGTTTCTGTCAAGCTTAGGTCAGCATCCTGAGACGAGCACATAGCAATTCTGAGACCACTCGGTGGGAGAGATGATGTGGGCACTGATGCCAGAGTCCAGACCGTCAGCCAGGGAGGCAGCACTGTCCAAGCCCTTGACCCAGTATGCACGAGACCAGCCCCGGTCCACAGCCAGATTTGTGCTATCTTATTTCTAAACGCTGTGTTCACCACAGGCTGAAGATATAATGACCATCAGGGCTGTGCTGTTGACAAAGGTCACCAGAGGCGGCCATAGGAAAACTGGATACATACTCTTCTATCTCTTCTGAAACCTTCCTCCCAAACCTGCAAAAGAGAAGATGAGGTTTCTGAGAACACACGAATCTCACATTTGGGGAATGTTCTGGGAAAGGCTTTCAAAGATAGGGACAAATTAGTATATCACAGTGCTTTAATTATCTGATTCTTCTTCTTTTTTTTTTTTTTGCCTTATGTTGGGGATTGGACCCAGGTATACTCTACCACTGGGCCACATCACAGCCCTTCTTATTTTGAGACAGGGTCTCTCTGAGTTGCTGAGGCTGGCCTTGAACTTGTGATCCTCCCTCATTGAGTAGCTGGGATTCCACGTGTGTACCATCACGCCTAGTTATCCGATTCCTCTTTCTAGACCAGCCCCATAATCAGCACAAGCAAACCACAGATGCTACAGTGCCTTGTTACTGCTTTGTTCCAGCATAACTACAAGTGAAACTGGTGCGATTAAGAGCAGGTTCAACAAGGACCTTAAGACCTAAATGAACACAAATGATATGGCACCCTCCTTTCAATAGTAACTGTCCCATTGAAAATCAAAGTGTTTTCTTAGACTGAGGCTCTGAGTCTTATTTGGAGGTGGTAGTTGTCAGCAAGTAGAGCTTCTTGGGGCAGAAGTTCTGCCTGTAGGCTTGGCAACTGGTTATCCCCCATGACATTCCACGAGGAATAGGCTGCATGGTTGACACACTCAGTGGCACAGGAACCATCTGGGGACACTGTTAGACATGACTGCTGGTCCAGCAGTGGGACATCCCTGAATCAGCTAGTTTGGAGAGGAAGAGCCTAGGACTATGCATTTTTTTAAAAAAAGTTCAGGTAATTCTACTCTAAGGAGGTCACTACTGACACTATGCGAAACCCCGACCTAAAATCCTCTATCTGTGGCTGGCAAATTACTGATGATGATAAAGCCCGGTGCTGTGGGCACCGAGATCACATTTTTAGTCTAAAAATTCCTACAATAGGGGCTGGGGATGTGGCTCAAGTGGTAGCGCGCTCCCCTGGCATGCGTGCGGCCCGGGTTCAATCCTCAGAACCACATACAAACAAAGATGGTGTGCCCGCCGAGAACTAAAAAATAAATATTAAAAAATTCTCTCTCTCTCTGTTTCTCACTCTCTCTTTAAAAAAAAAAATTCCTACAATAAGAGTTGTGTGTTGTTTAAATGAATTTTTGGATCAGAAATCTAGCATGGCGAGCCAGGGTTCAAAGAGGTGGTAGCCATGTCCCCAGAGCCCAAAGGCAGGATGCATGAGAAAGCCCTTGACAGGGTGGGTCCATGGGAAGAGCTGTCCTGAAGCCAACCACCAATTCCTGCAAGGTGTAAATGATTCTCCCTGAGAGTCTAGCCATAATTTCATTTTTATTTTTAAAAAAAAAGCCAAAAATAAAATATATGCTATGCCTGAGTTTAAAATAGAGTAACTTCCATGAAATTTAGACTACATCAACTGGACTATTTAGGGAAAAAAAAAGGATGGTTGACACCAGGAGGGAGGAGAGAGAGAGTAGGGAAAGTTGGGGGTTGTAGAGAGACCTCCCAGGCTGCAGCTTTTGGCTCTGGAGGGCAGAGGAGGGGCCCGATGGCTAGGGTAGAGGGAGGCGGAACAGAGAGGGCAGAGGCAAGCAGGAAAGGCAGGCTGCACCAGAGGCCCTGGGCATCACCCCTATTGCTGGGTGACATGGTATATTCTAATGCCTGTTCTAGTCAGAGGACCACTGAGCTCCCACGGCCACCTTCTGTGTCCTGGGAAGAAGAAGTTATCCTAGTTTCTGTCATGCCCAGAACCACTGCCTCCAACCATCCACAAGTCAAACTCGCTAAGCCTACTGTACAAATGACCCGCTGTTCAAATGACTTGGCCAACATGTCACCAATGGTGGAAATGCCTGAATGAGGAGGGGTAAGAGAAAAACAGGTGACGGAGGCGAGGCAGATGAGACCCACCCTCACTTTGTACATAAGGGACATACTCGGCTGTGACTGCCTTCAGGAGCGTAGCTGAATTGTTCCTTTCCTAAGCAACGTGCTTGGAAAAAGCAGTGGCGGTTTTGTCTGAAGGAAACAGTAATAATGACAGTGAATCCTCGGGGGGAGTCTCACTAACTGCCACTTATCCACCCAACACCCAAGAAGGGGGGTGAGTTTAATATTCATCTTAATTGCCAGAGAGCCCACATCCTGTTTTCTCCCCCTCTAGAGGGAGCCCAAGGACCCTACCCAGACAGGAAGGAGGGAGCTCAAAGGAGTCTTCAGGCAGCTGGGGTTGTGGCTCAGGGCTAGAGCGCTTGCCTAGCATGCGTGAGGATCCCCAGCACTGCATTAAAAAATAAAGGTATTATATCCATCTGCAACTAAAAAAAATATTTTTTAAAAAAGGAGTTATCAGGAATGGGCAGCAGGGCATCTCTTAGGTGGCGTGCTCTCTCTCTGCCAGAGATAACAGGTTTGGGTACTTCCTCCTTGTGGACAGGGAGCCTGATGGGATGGAGCCCCCTGCCTCTGATCTTCATCACAGATGGAAACTGGCCACCTCTGGACTTTACCCAGTGTGTACGAGAGTTTGGCTTGTTTATTGTTTTGTTTTGTTTTAACATAAATTTGTTGCCCAAATGGGGAGATTTTCTTCATGAAAGTCCAGATTTCTGCTAACGCTGGTCCCTACCTAGGGCGCCCTCCCACCAGGCCCAGGACTAGCTCCGCAGCACTGAGTCTTACTGCTGGTTCTCTCACAAGAGGCAGTAGGTGCGGGGAGAGGTTCCTACAGCTCCAGGGGATATCAAATGTGAGAAAAAGGAGGCTGAGGGGAAGCATGTTTGGGGAGAGTAGCTGGAGAGTGTTTCTCTACAGAAACGTGAACACACAATCTGCATGGTGTCTCAGAACAGAATCTGAAGTAAAACCCATTTCCAATTCACTTTATCTGTTCCCAGAGGCACCTGGGGCCAGCACAGTGACAGGCCCAGGAGACGGAGCATCTCAGCACAGGTTTCTAAAGACCCCTTAGATCAGGAGATCAATTTAGTGGATGGCCACCAGCCTGCTTTGCTTTGCTTTCCTTCCTTCCTTTTTCTTTCCTTTTCTTCTTCTTCTTCTTTATACCACAGAAAAGAGTGTACTGCAAACAGGATAAGCTTTTTGTTTTTAGTTTTACTCACAACCTAACATAATGTAGGGTGTATTTTTAATTATTGGTGACAGGTTAAAAACAACAATTAATGGACGGGCGCGTGGCTCAGGCCTGTAATCCCAGCAGCTCGGGAGACTGAGGCAGGAGGATCATGGGTTCAAAGCCAGCTTGGCCATGGGGAGGCGCCAAGCAACTCAGTGAGACCCCGTCTCTAAATAAAATATAAAACTGGGCTAGGGACATGGCTCAGTGGCAAGTGCCCCTGGGTTCAATCCCTGGTACACCAGCCCCCCCCCCCAGCCTGCTGGGAGGGAGGGGGGAGCCAGAGAGGGGTTTGGTGCTGATGTTCTGCTCCCCACAGGGGCTGAGGTAGAACTGTGGATTCTGGGTCACCTCCTCACAGATGTACTTCTTCCCCAACTTGAGGGAACTGATGCTGTCACTGAGGCCCGCGAGGCCTGGTGGCGGCAGGCAGTCTATGGAGTGCAGGCCTGGGCTTCCTGTCCATTACTGCCCCCAGGACCTCGTGCCTGGCTGCCTAGAAATGGCTATTAATGCTAGTAAGACCACCCCACAGAGACGGAGCACTGCTCCAGACCCTCAGACTCCCACGTCTAGGACACCACAGTTGAGCTGTGGAACAGAAGTGTAGCAGGATTCAGCAGAACCCTTTACACCCAGGGACCCTGGGCGCCACGGAAGGGGGCTTCACCCAAATCACAGAGCTAGTTAGTGACGAGGCTGAAACCAGACTCCCGACTTTCACTCTAGGTCCCAAACACGTTGCCCCCAGCTTTTTCAAAAGGGATCCACTTTTTCCAGTGTCCCCGGGCACCCAGACATCTGTCTGGATTGACTGCAGCCACTCCCTTCTTGACTCCCAGAAGGCCACAGAAGGCTGAGACAACGGAAAGCTGGAGTCCTTTAAGCAGGTAGCTCTTAACCGAATCACACCTGGGGAGCTTCTTCAATGAACATGTGCTAACCACCCCCCCTTAGTAATTTCCAGAAATAGGCCCCCAGGCACGACTGTGAGACTCTCTGCCCTAACCTTATTTCAGACGTGAGGCTGAACGCTCCAGTTGCTAAGCAGCAATCGGAAACCTAGCTGCCCCCTCCTTCTGAGCCGCCTACTTTCTTTCCCCAGAAGTGTTAATGAACTTGGACATGGCCTGAAGGCTGAGGTGAGGAGGGAACAGCCAGAGCCCCCGAGTGGTCAGTGGAGGGAAGGAAGCCTCTGTTCCTGGATGCCGTCCTGACATGCACACAGGAGCCCACGGTGTTCACGCCAAAGCACAGGCCCTCTCCCCATGGTGACCAGGACAATTCACACCTGATTAGAGATGCGTGTTCACTATGCAGAATGTGTGGCAGGAAGGCTGCTGAACCAGCACTTTGAAAAGTTAATTAAGTGCCAGGTTTCTTTTTAAGAGCTCCTCCATCACTTGCTGATGGCTGTGGCCATTTTGCAGAGTGAGGCCTCACCTCTGGACACCGGGGGTAAACCTCCTCCCTCACCTCCACCCACTAGTTGCCTTCCTCCTGCGAGGGAGGCACCCTTCTGGTCAGTGGCCTGGCAAGTCAGTGGCCTGGCAAAGGGAAGTCACGGCCACCTCTGTATGGTCCTTTCCAAACGACCAAAAATACCCAGCCACAAAGCCATCCCGTGCTTTAAGCATCGGCTCCTGGAGCAGAGGTGCTTAAGGGTGAGGAGGGTCCTTCTACAGAGCCCTGTCCCTCAGCTCAGCACTCAGCCAGCCCCTTCCTTCTTTTCACCCCCATTTCTCTTTCTTTGGCTTGATGCAGTTACTCGCTTAATTTTTAGGAAAATCCACTCCCAGGCTGCAGCCGGCCTCCCACAAACCTGCCAGAGAAGGAAGACGGTCAAGCACTGG